GTTTCAGAATTTTTGTTATAATTTTAATAAATACTCGTGAACGTGATAAAGCCCTTAATAAATTATTACAAAAAATAAATGATGAGAGAAAGAGAGACGATCCAGGCTAAAGACCGTATTCCAGACAAAATACATTCCCGAGAGACCCCCCCCCCCTTTCCTCTTAATTCTACTAACATTTTGGAGTAAAATGAAATAAAATTAAAATTATTTATTATAAACTCTTTAAAAATTAAATATTTAAATTTTTACCAGAATTTCCACGAAAAGACCCAGTAGATCGATCACTTGCCAAATGTCTACTTAATATTCTATCATCTCCTCCACGCATTATTTTTAAAAAAATAAAATTAGGGAGAAATTAAGGAGTAAAGGAGAATATTTTGATTAAATTAAGAAAGATTTTTTTGATTTTCAAAAAAGTTTTTGAATTTTAAGTATATTTTATTTTAATTTAAGAAAAAAGTCATGACAACTTTAAATTAAATTTATTTTTTATTAAAATTTTTCTCAAGAAAATTGTGAAAAAAGGTTAAATATTTATTAAGTATAAATATTTTAAAAGAAATTCCAAGAAAAAGAGTAGTGGTAATAAAATATTATTTATTTATTTAATTGCGTGCCAATTATTTCTAATTGACGTAATCAACCAATAAAAAGAAATTAATATAATAAAAAGAAAACTTTTTTTATTAGAAAAAGATAAATACCCAAAAAGCAGGTGAAATGCCGTGATGGAAAAAAAGAAGAAATCATAAGTCGAATGATATTTTAAATTGACGTATTTTATATTGGATATTTTATTTATCTCTTTTTTGGTCTAATAAAAGGGAGGGGGTGGGGGGTAAATTTAAGAAAAAGGAAATAACTAAATAAATTTTTTAGAAATTTTTGTTTAAAAAAAATTTTAAATTCGCCAATTTTTATTTTTTCAATTTCACATTAAGAATATAAAATTGGTCTTATTAAAATAAAATAATGTTTTGTTGCCTATAGCTACATAGAAAAGGTATCAATTTTGAGTAAAATATAATTGTATTTTTGAGAAAAAATAATAAATATGTAGTATGGAAATTTTAAATCCAATAATTGGTGCCGCTTATTCGGAACGTTTAATATAGAAGGAATTTGTGAGGATACTGAAAATTGATCAAGAATTGATAAATAAAAAACTTGATTTATTAAATTAAAAATTTTCATAATATGGAAAAAATTCAGTTGAATTCGCAACTTAAAATAAAAGCCTCGAAAAAATATTTGTCGTTTATAATCATTCCGGTAAATGTGAATTAGTGTGGAAGGGGCAAGACTAGAGAGTTTATGGCCTTGTACTATAATAAATACATATATGTTATAATAGAAGGAAAAATAATTATTTGACTGTAACTTTTTGTAGTTACAGTTTTTGTAGTTATCTGATCAAATCAATCCTAATAAATAAAATCTAGAGTTTAAATTGATATAATAAATATTTAAATTAAGTTTGGCGGATCTGGATATCCGACGCTTCAGTATTGCCCCTGAATAGGCAATATTGAAACGTCCTTTACCGTAGTTCTGAATTGTCGACTTTGAAGCGGCTTTTACTGGTAAAGCGGCAAATTTGAATTTCCTCTAAATCTGAAGAGTAGATTATTTAACAAAATTTTTATTTTAATTTTCTAAGTAATACATATTTTGGTTATTTTTTAGAGATTAATTTAATTTTAACCCCAAATTATTTCTAAAATGAATTCAACAATTAACAATACAACAATTGATTCCATTACTTTAACTCGTCCCTGTCCTGAATCTTATAGCAAATATTGTTACAATAGAGGAAAATGTTATGCTGCTTGGGTTGGAAATGGAAATTTCAAACCTTTCTGCCAGTTTGTTTTTTTGTTTAATTTTTTCAGTTATTTTTTAAAAAGTTGTGCCAGAGGCTTTCATGGACCTCATTGTGAATATTTATTTAATCCAGACGTTTACGGCTTCAATGTTAGTGACGAATTGGAAAACAAGGCTTTGTCGACTGTGGCCATCATTTTATTTTTGGTTATTGTTGGTCTTATTTGGTGCCTTATTTTGCATCGAAAGTTTGTTTTTTTTTGTTAGAAATTTGGGGTTCTTTTTCGTTCTTTTCCCCTCATCTTTCCCTTTTCTTTTATTTTTGGGCTTCTGAGTTTACTAGATTCTGTAACTGTTCTGCCGGAACTGGTTCTATTGACTTATTGATTCGCTATCAATTTTTAAAATGAAAGGTTCCACAGAACAGAATAAAAAAGGTATAATAAAGTGTTATAGATGGTCACATGTGACTTTAGTCTCGACCAGGCCTGTATTTCTCCCCCTCCCCCCCCCCCCCCCCCCGAAATGGGGAAAAGGAAAATTTGGGGAGGGATTGGGGGAAAAGTGAATTTTTCGGCCAGGGCCTTGCAAAATTCTCAAATAATCAAAAATTTTGACCCCTTCAGTGTCAGAAATGATTTTCCCCCATGCTCCCCTCGAAATTTTTCCTGGCTACGGGCCTGGTCCTGACCCTGAGAAATGTTACACTAAAGGCCCAAGAACGAACATTATTATTAAATTCTCTTATACGTCACTTTCTCTCAAGATTGTCCTGAACCTGGACTCATTGTCAGACCTTTATTTTTCTCTAAAAAATTATTTTAGATACATCAAGGCCGCAATCAAAAACAACAAAGACGAAATCGAGTCCATTGATTATGCCGTCGTGTAGATTCAAATGACAATTCAATGTGCCTTCTTCTTACTTTAAGAAAATATTTTTTTAATTTATAGGTTTCTTATTTTTTAATTTTTTTAACTACTATAATTTAAATTAACTAATTCCTAAATCACATTTTTAGACAATTTTATTTTTTAATTGAGATTGTTCACAATTGGTCACCAGAGATTTTCGAAAAATGGGGGTAGCTTTTTTCATGTTCCCAAAGATATGCAAAAATTTTAAAATACATGACTTTCGGGTAAAACTTGTGGGCATTTAGGAGCATAAAGAGAAGAACCGTTTTTTATATAAAGCCAAAATTAAATCGGTATTCGACTAAAACCCTTCAAAACGAAAGTGTCTGTTAATAACCAGTTGTGAATAATTCTATTGTTGACTCACTTAAGTCGGACCTCGATTTTAAATACTTCCTTTGAAACTGAAAAAATCACCCATCCAATGTCCAATCAAATTTAAAAAAATATATTTAATTTAAATACTTTGGGGGGTATTAAATTCGAGATCTGATGTAACTTATTTGACATTATTATTTATAAATCGTATAAAATATTTTTTACATAAATCTTTAAATTTATAACAAAGATTTTAACAATTATAATAGGAAAATCAATTTAAAAAGAATTAAAAAATTCTAAAACCCATATACTTGGAAAAATTCTTAACAACCAATTAAAAATCCTCAATTATTGTCCAACAATTCTTCAATCTTTTCAGTAAATTGACTAAGTTTTAACAAATGATATTTTTGTAAATGCCTGTTTAATTCATATTTAACAGAAAAATTCTTTCCACAATGTTCACATCCATAAGGTTTTTCGCCTTTAGAAAAAATAAATTTAAAAAAAAAATTTTCAATTAAAATCAAACCTTTGTGTGAATTTAAATGTCCTTCTAATTTACTTGCAGAAATAAAAGATTTATCACATAAAGGCCAATTACACAAATATTTCTTCTCTTTAATACTTTTTTTGTATTTAATATCTCCATGAATTTGGTTAAAATGTTTTCTTAAATAACGTCCAGTTTTAAATTTTTTGTCACATTGAGGGCATGTAAATTCTCCTGAAGCAGCTTTTTTATTTACAAATAAAGAAATATCAGTGAATTGCTCTTCTTCCTCTTCGGTTTTTATTAATTCTTCGTTGTTTTGGTCGTTGATTTTCTTTAAAAAAATAATTTAGTATTGAAGAAAGTTTATGGAAACCCTCAAGGAATGTGAACTAGCCTTTCATTGTCTCCACCCTTCACCAAAAAATTTCCTGCTAGTTCATAATCTGCAAATGTTTGCCACATACCCCTATTTTTAGATGTCCTCACAAAACCCGAAAATTTTGTGGAGACCTTCAAAAATTTGAATTTGTGAGAATCCGTAAATACCAAGTAATAATTAATCAGTTTTTAAAATAAACTTTTAAATATTATAATACCTCTTTTTCAATTTCTTCTGTTTGTTTTGCTGGCGAATTTGGGTTCTCCATTTCATTATTTAAACAATGCTTTTCGCGAACATGCCTAGCTAGGCGATTGTAAGGTAATCTAGCACCACAACCATTAACTGTACATTCTAATGCTGAAAGGAAAATGTGAATAAAAAGAAAATTTTTTGCCTAAACTTTTTTCTTTTTCACGCTAAAAATCTTACTAGCTAGAATTTAAAACACTTGACGGGTTAAGATTTAGAAGAATAACCGGCAACGTAGTGATAAAAACAGTAATATCCCTAGATTTGAGGCACCGCTACCACCAAAATAAAGTTATCAAAACTCTTTAATTTGAAATAACCTTCACGCACCTTTATCACCATGTGCCTGTCTTTCGTGTCTCCGAACCTGTGAAGTCAATTTATTTTTGTATTCACAAAATGAACAATTCTTTAATCCTTTAAATCCACCCATAAACTAAAAATAATCTCAAACATAAAAATTTAAAAATAAAAAATTATTTAAAGCTAAAAAGCTTACTCAGCAAAAGATTAACGCACTATAAAATATTTATTGTTTTTTAATATGTAAAAATTAAATATACAACAAGTAAAAACAACAAAAGATGAAAAAATATACAGATAAAATTTGAATAATAATTAACCCGTTTAATATGAAATTAAATTGAATGAGTATTTCAGAATTTTAAATCTAGTTATGAAAGAAAGGAAAAGTAGTAAAAAAAGTGGAGGAATAGCAAAAGCCGATGGGTTTTTAATGCCGAAATGGTAAAGAGACCCTGAATCGAAAACAATAGCAACCAACCCAACTTTTTTCAAAACTTTTCATTGTTCATTGAGTGAAGTATTTGAAGAACTATCATAATCTTCAAGTCTTCCAATCAATTCATATCTTTTTGGGCCAATTCTTTGAGTGTGTAATGACTGAGGAAGGCCAGTATCATTTCTCTAAAAAATAAGAAAATTTTTAATTTTTAAATTGAATTGTTTTACAATTTCATTCAAATCTTCATTATTTTCCTCATCCATTTCCTCATCATTTTCATCTAGTCCCAAAAGACCATATCGTTCAGCAATTTCTGCCCTTTCAGCAAAGTTAGGAATGTGTAGATGTTGATTAACTTGAGGTAATTCGTTGGAAACAGAATCATCTGAAAAAATGTAAAAAAAATCATCAAGGAATTTAAAAACTGTCTTCTCGAATTAAAAATTTTTATTAGAGGATTCTAAAGTATTTGTTTTTTCCCTACCCCCTTCTATTTGTAATTTTTCAGAGAAAGTAGGAAAGAAGGAAAAACAGAAATGGTGAGGACCGGAGGTTAAAATATAAAATTAAATGCATAATTTAATTAAAATTATTCACCTTGTTCTTCTCCTTTTTTATCTTTTCCAATGTCAAATCTTTCATTCATCCAATTTGGATTTTCCAATTCAAAACGTTTAAATTCTTCTATAGCATCATTTAAAGGACTTAAATCAGCTTGATGTTCAAATCTATTATTTTTCTCTGTTTCATTTAGTAAATCTTTTTTGTCATTCAAAATTCCATGAATCCAAGCAATTAAATGACCAATATTTTGAGGCAAAATAAGCGATCCAAAACCAGCACAAAATAAAGTAGATTTAAAAAAAGGCGGAATTGAATTAGTAGGGGAGTAGGAAAAACGAGCAAACGCAAATTGATTGAGTCGAGATGATGTAGAATTTTCACAAGTTTCAGATGCTGAATCCTTTGGACTGTCATGAGAAGGAATTCCTCCATTCTTAAGAGTGGAATCTAAAATTGCAAAAAATATTGATTTAATTAATAGTGAAAAAATAACCCGTCCTTTGATGCTTTGATGTTGTACGCCTTCGACTAATTATTACACCATTTTTGACAAGCCCCTCATTTGAAGCAATATCGTTTATTTTCTAAAAGAATTTTTACTAATTCCATAAATTAATAACAAAAAATCATACCGAAATAACAAATCTAACAGCACAATTAAAATAATCAGAAAAATGTCTTCTTTGTGCCAATTTTTGTCCAGCCATTACACGCCTTGAACATTCAGAAAATATTGTTAAAACAAAATCGCATTCGCCTAATTTTTCTACTAACCAAACGCCAGGGCGGACAGCTGTACAAATTTAAAAAATTGAATTAAAGGAAAGGAAGGCTAAATCGATGTATATTTAAAAAATCAAAAAAATTCTCGATCGATTTTCTAAATTGTTGACAAATAAGTCAACCCTCATTCTTAAATGAACTTTGGGTGGAAACAGGCTTTTCAATGAAATACAGGAGTATTCTTATGTTAGCAGCTCCTTAAACTAATTCAGTAAGTAGTACCTAAAATGACGATAAATATAATCGAGCCAGTATTTAAATTTAAAAATAATCAAAAAAATAACTTGGATTTTGTAAAAATTCTTTTTGATCAACAAAACAAATAGCATTAGCATTTTCTTCCAAAATTTTACACAAAGCCATAACAGTATCTGTATGTTGCTGACAATCGTCTGTGTAGAGAATAAGAACTTTTGGGCGTTTTGTTAATTCGACACTTTGTGGTTGCCGTCTTTGAAGGGCTAAAATTATTTTTAAAAAATTTAAATATGTATGTAGGAAAAACATTTAAAACACCTCTTTGCCTCCAAAAACGCAATGAAAGGAAAAGAATTGATGTAATTAAAATAGCAGCTAAAATAAAATTAATTAAAATGGATTTATAGATATAGTACCTAATTTAATAAAAATTTGTTTTCATTTTAAAATAAATCAAATAACAGTCAAAGTTAAATGAAAATAATAATTAAAATGAAAATTTTATTTAGCACACTCACAAAGGTCCAAACTTAAAAATAATTTCTGATTAGACCAAACCCGAGTGTGCAAATAATCGAATTTTATTATGAGAATTATTGAAATTTAACTATACTTTACCTAAAAGTAGAATAACAGCATATTTAGAAATTAATATTAACGTCTTTCTCCTCTTCCATTCATTAGAATATTTTGATTCAAAAAGAGTAAAGTTCAACGCTGTATGTGGACATTCTATACAATTTTTGCCAACAAAAGAATTTTTATCACAAACAAGTTCACATTGATTATTGTCAAGAAAAGCATAAAGTCTAAAAATTAATAAAACAATTCTTTTTAAAAAGAAAAGGGCTAAATAATTCCATCAAAAATTGAATTTTGTCAAAAATCTCGGCAAATTCGGGTTTAAAAAAATAAACGTTCAAGTGTTCCCAAATTTTTCAGCAAAAAAATTTTTTAAATCGAAAAAGAATTAATCGTCTGATACCCACCCCAAGTCACCAACAGCTATAAAGTTAGTTTTTGTACATACATATATTTTCCTGAATCAACATTCTTCCAATATTTCCTCCAATGCTGTTTTGATTCAAATAAATTATCAAATAAACTATTTTTATCATATTTTTGTGGATGGATTCTTTCATTAGCTACCAATAAATGTTTCTCATTTTTTGTTTTATTCTGATGAGAAAAATCATCAAAATCATAGACAGAAAATATAGAAAGATTAATATCCCTTGAAGGCCATATCCAACGCATTGGACTTAAATTGACTAAAATTTCCTAAAAAGAAGACTTTTAATTTTAACCCGACTGTATTTTTAATGCTTTACATCAGAATAAGAAAAATCAACATAAATAAGCGGAGACCATCTAGCCAAGTGATTTTGTTGAAGAAATTCAGGCCATTTTCCATTTCCACTGTAGAAGTAAGCAATTTTTGGGTCTAATTGACGTTCCAAGGGTGTCGTTAGTAAAAACGTTTTTCTAATTTTTTAAGAACTAATTTTAATAATTTAGTTAATTTTAATAATTTACCTACAAAGAGATCCATCATGATTTTTAATGACAAAAATATCAAGTAAATATTGACTGAGACTGAACAGGTTATAACAAGTATATGAGAAGAAAATAGCAAGTTCGTCCTGAAAGTATATAGGATACAAATAATTTGGTTTAAAGTCTACAATTTTTATCCCATAAGTAAACCCCAAAACTAAAATTTTATCTAATTCATAACTTTTAACCATATCTTTAACAGTAGATTTAAAGCCTCAAAAATTCTAAAGTATAGGAAATAAAGAAAATTGCAAGTGTCCTACAAATTGCATTTGCAGGATCTCGATGGGTTAATCACGAATCATACAAATCAAAGGTATAGATTTAAAAGAGCGAAATCCGGCAAGCTCCCACATAGAAAAAGAATAAACACAAACCTTATCTTTAAAATAATCTCCAAACCCCAAGCGTCTACATGGCCAAATCATTCTTCCCCATTTTCGAATTAGAATTTCTTGTTTGTGACACAAATAATCTTCCTTGTTAGGAGAATATAAACAACGAAATTGAAAATAAATTTCTTGAATTTCTGAGGATCTTGCAACAAAGGATATATTTAATTTCACATATGGAAGACTAAAAAATAAGAAAATTTGGGGAAAAATCAACAAAAATTTACATGTTTTGCCCATCAGGAAAAACAGAATAAGGCATTAAATCAACTTCTAGCAAATCATCCGGACAATTTGGAATTTGTTTTCTTCCGTCTTTGTCATCTTCCACAGGCAATAAATTTGTAAGAAATTGGTCACAACTTTTTGAATCATCCAAAAAGGTAAAGTCCTTCTCAAAAGTATTATTTTGTTGATTACCAAGCGAGAAAACGATGAATTCGTGATAGCAATCATTCGAAGCAAAATGAGAAATTTGATTGAAAAATAGTATTAATAAAAATAAAACTCCAAATTGCATAACCTAATAAATTTTCAAAAAATTTTGAAAAATAATGAAACAAAATTAATCAAAATAAAATAAAAAATTAGTAAAAATCAACTAAAAATAGACCCAAAAATTTTCAATTTTAAAATTTAAACAAAAAACAAAACAAAATTTTCTAATTAGAAGTTTGTTCTTCATTTTGTGAAGCTTTTTCATCCTCCTTGTCATTTTTGCCTTCTTTAGCCTTCTCTAAACTTTTGTACATAAGCCTTCTGTACGCACGCGCTCTCACAAAAGTATTTGGATGTAACGGGAGTAAACCAGAAAGGCCTAGAATTGTCTTTAATTATGAAAAACGATAACTTCATTCCTTAGGAATGTTAAGCCAATTAACTTTCCAAAAATAAAAATAATTTCTTACCAAGAAGTTCAAGCAACGGAACAGATACTTCAGCATTTCTAACGCCCAACCAATACTTTAACCGATCGAATTTTAAAGAAACCAATTTTTCATTTCTATCGTTAGGTATTGGATCAAAAGTACCAAGCTAAAAAAGGAAATTTTTAAAAATATTTTTAAAAATTATATACTCTACATTTTCAATCATATTTCCTCTATAATGTTCTCCTAAAGCCTTATCTGGATAAACAGCAATATGGTATACTGGTCTATTTGAACAACCAAAATTAGCCAAATAAATATAAGGCCTGCCAAAAGTTGCTGGATTAACTAATTGACGCATTCTTTAAAAAAATTCTAAAAGTAATAAAAGTAAAATGAAATTAATTAATTTAAAAAATAACTTTGAAAGGAAAACAAAAATTAAAAAAATAAAGGATTTTTATGAAAAATAATTATTATAAAAATATGTGTGTTGATTAGAAAGAATATTTAACAAATTAGAAATGAATCTCACATAAAACAAGAACTTCCTTAGTGTTAGGACAAAAATGGAATAGAATTAAAGAGATAGCTTTGGCAGAAACGCTTTTGTTAAATTAATTAATTAATTTAATTAATTTGTTAAAGTTAGCAATTAACAGTTGCGGACGGATGTTGCCGAAAAAAAGTTCGTTAATTTTGTTAAAGAAACGTTCCCCTAGCATAAGTTGTGAAAGATAAGAACAAAATATTTTTTGAAATAAAATATTTTTTTAATTTCATAATTTCCTCTTTTCTTTTTCAGTCAAAGTGAGGATTGTCTTTTGCCATTCTAAACGAGCTTTTTCAATACCTTTCAACCCTTCTCTTAAATATCCATCAAATTTAAAATTTAAATCTTGATCAACTTTAAAATCACCAGAAATATACTATAAAATTTTGACTAAAAATTAAATTTAAACCATAAAAACCTTAAAAATAATTCTCGAATATTCAATTATATAAATACCACAATCACCAGAAATTTCCATAAACGGCGTTTGAGTATATCTCCGAATTGGTTGGTTGGATGTTACATTTAAATAATTTGTCATTTTAGAAACAAACTTAAAAAATAAAATTTTTGAGAAAAAAAGATATTAGAAAAAAACAAACCGAATAAACAGGTTCACTAACATTATCATAATTTTCAAAGCCTCTAGCAGGGTCAAAAAGTAAAAAATTCTTTTGATTTGGATTAAAAATAATTAAAGACCAATGTGTTCCACTATAAACTTGGTTTGGATTGTTGCTGTCGTTATAAATAAATAAATTCCATTTATCAGGATTTACTCCAATATTTTTTAAAAGGGTGTCGATTTGGTCATTTTCGTATTTAATTAATTCTGATTGAGTAGCATAAACAATACAAATCTGAAATTAAAAAATTAATAAAGAGGTTAGAAAATAAAAATAAAGAAAACTTAACTTGTTGGAACGTTCTTTAAAATATTTATTGGCCAAATAAATAATTGCAAAATTTACAATGTTATCAGTCAACCAACCATGGCCACGAAGAGAAATAACTAAAAAAGTTAATTAAAACAGAAAAAATATAAAATAACCGTCCTCGTCATGAATATCAATATCTTCATAAGAGAAAAACCTCATTGTTGAAATTTTAATTAAACGAAAATTTTAAAATTTCAATTTATTTTTAAAAATTTTTCAATGTTCTTAAAAAAGATTGGAGAAAAAAGAGAGAGAGGAGAGAGAATTAGAGAAAAAATGAAAATGGAATAAGGTCAAAAAGGTTTCACAGCACTTCCACCCTGTTGACGCACGCGTGAAAACTACTTAGCTTTCTATTTTTCCTTTCTTTCGTTCTCTAACTGTCTCTCTTTCTTTTATGCACTCTTTTTTTGCGACTGCGAAAACAAATTTTATTAAAACTTTGAAATCCCATATCTCGAAAACTATCCCCATTTTTCAAAAATCTGTTCCCACCATTTCATAGATAATTGTTTTAAGTTTCTCTGAAAAAAATTTCAGAAATTTTAATGCAAAATTCACAGAGTTAATGCAAACTGCATTTTCTATCAATTTTAGTTAAAAAACTAATCGAAAAAAAGTTTTAGGAAGTCAAATTTAGTTTAATTTGATGCAGCTCGACGAGTAACGTCGATTCATGCTAAATTTGAATTTATAGGGCCTGATTAGGATGAGTTATGGCCAAAAATGTATAAATTTTTACCGATTTTTAAAAATTCATAACTTAGCCTTATTTGCAGATTTTCCACTCAAATTTCGCAAAGTTGTATATCAATTATAGTACTACAATTTGGCAAATTTTGAAGGAAATTTTGCCACTTGGGGTTATTAGTTATAGACTCCCGAAATTCGACAAAATATACTTACGAATATGGGCAATTCCCGAGTATGTGTGTTATATGTCATTCGAAAGAGCTCGTCGAGTTGAGTCGAATGACACCAAAATCAAGAAAATACCTTAGTTATGAGCTGAGATACAGACTCCTAAAAGTCGTAAATATCGAGTTTTCAAAAATTCCTAACTTAGTTAAAAATGTATATTAGCTTCCCAAACTTTGTAGGATTGTTTAACTATTTTAGGTCTATAAAAATACAAAATTTGAAAAAAATCGGATCAGAGGATAAAAAGTTATAAAATTTAACTAATTCCCCCTCACAAATGAGAGAATTGACCATTTTCCCTCCTCCTGACCATTTTATAACTTGTCTCCTTCTGACCCTTTCTCTTGTTTACAATAAAGTCAGACGCACGAGAGATGCAATAGAATTTGGAGAATAACAGACATTTTATTTAAATTTTGGCGTAATGTTTAAGGAAAAGAGTTAGCTAGTTTTCACGCGTGCGTCAACAGGGTGGAAGTGCTGTGAGGTTTGGGTCAGACAGACATTCGCCGACTGACCAAAACACCGTCTGGTCAAAACACCGTTTTTTTGTTTTGGCGTCATAATGGTCCTCCTTGATTCTGAAATCATCAAAATTTACTTTTATGCCTTATAAATTTAATTCTTTCTGTAGATATTTTTATTGCCTTAAAATTTTTTTAGTTTATTTTCTTTTTAATTCACTTGATGAGCAGTAACCGAAAAGGTATTTTTTCACATTTTTTTAATTTTTGCCATTTTAGACCCTAATTCATCCTCTAACAAGTATCGATCTCCAGCTTCTGGTTTAAGCAAATCAATTTTTTCTGCTATTAAAGGTGTTCCAGTTGAGGTAATTTTAAGAACAATTTTTTTCTTTGATTCACCAACAGATCTAACGGTTATTTTTGCTTTTTTTTGCTTAAACACATCTAATAATATGTGAATGAGGTCATGGGTTCGATCCCGCACGTCAACGTTATTTTTATTTAAGAAAACAAAATAAATGTCACGTTTGGACTCTTACAGATTTTTCATTACGAAAAACATTATTTTAAGTGTTTTGGTGAATCAGTTTAGCAATTTTTTAGATATTTTATTTTATTAGGAGGTTAACAGTAAAAGCGCAGTTAGAGCTCTTGTAAATACAGGTGTACATTTATCACAAATTGATAAAACTTCGCAAAAAGATGACAAAAAAGAGAATAAAGAAAAGGATAAAATGAAAACAACTTTTAAAGCACTTATTGGACATTCTTCCTCAAAATCAAGGGATGGGGAATCCTCTCAACGAAGCACTCCGAAAAGAAACAAAAATAAAAAATTAACAGATAGTGAGAGAGGAAGACGCTCTTTTTCTTGTGAAATGGTTGTTAATACTCCTAATCATTGCCAGGTTTGGATTTTTGGCCACATAACTTTAAAACCCAAAAATTTGATGTAACAGAAATTTTGACCTAAAAGACCTAACAAAAAATGACATAACAGAAATTTTCAGAGGCATCAGAAGGGAATTTATAGATTATAAAGAGAAATATGCCAATAACTTTTAAAAAATCTAGAAAAAACCTGATCTAAAGAATATTCCCCTCCCCCCCCCTCCCTCCCTTATCAAACTTCAAACTTTTAATTTTTTAGAAAGCTCAAAGTATAAACCAAATAAATGTTGCACATTGTCAACAACCACAACAAAATCTTATTACTTCCTCAAATTCACTTATTTGTGGCTCTTCACTTTCTGTTCAATCAACAAATCCTCCCTCTACTCCAGCATTAAGAGGACGTTCACCTTCTGCTGCAAGTAGTATTTGTTCGAAGGTTTTTATAGATCTTTGAGGAAACTTTTAAAAAAAATTTAGGATGAAAAATTGATTGATAATGGCGAATTGAAACAACCAAAAATTCGTCTTTCAATTTGTGCGAAGGCTCTCTTTGCCTGTGCTAATGGGCAATTACAAGAATTGAGGAATTTAATAAAAGAAAATGTAAAAAATATTTTTGAGAGGGATTTAAAATAATTTTTTTTAATTTTTAGCCAGAATTAATAAATTATAAATATCCTCTTTGTTATCGCTACAGTTGTTTACATATTGCTGCCAAGTCTGGTGATAAAAATATTGTGCAATATTTGGTTAGAAATGGGGCAGATTTAAATTCCAAAGATGTAAGTTTGATTTTATTTCAAAAATATTTGTAATCGAAATTGTTTGAGTCAATATTTTGATCGGATTTCATTAGACTCATAAACTAGACCAGAGCCCTCCGATTTTCTTCATAGGTCTATCTAGGAACATCCAGATAGGAACTTCCCATTTGAAATACTATCTGATCTTTGATTTTACTTAGAAAAAATATTTTAAATTCCATTAAACATTCATTCTCTGAAAGATCATTTTTAGGTGAATTTACTTTCTTATCAATTTTCAATTTAAAAAATTTGATGATAAGAATTAAAATTTTTTTTATAGGAAATGCATTGTACTCCATTACATGCTGCTGCGAAAGCTGGACAAATTGAAATGGTTAATATGCTCATTGAAATGGGTCTTATTTTAACTTTTCATTTTTAATAATTTGAAATATTTTTAGGGGCTGATAAATATATTCGTGACGCTCATGGAATGCTTTATAGTACTTATTTAGATAAACATTTTAAACAATATAAAAATGACCCGATGAAATATTCAAAAACAGTGAAGCAGTCAAATTGTCCGAGTGAAGAAGGTTAATTTTGAATTTAAAAGTTTATGGTGCCTTTTTAATTTAAAAATTTTCTTTTTTCCTCATGAAATTTTCGCCAAGGTTTTCTAAGTGGAATCATGTTTCGTTCTTTTTACATATTTAACAGTAATTTTATGTGGCAGCTTCTATTGAAAAATATTTCAAAACAGAAATGCTGCCCAAAAATTTTGTAATGAAATATCCCCCAGTTTCTCCCGTTTATAAAAAAAAGAACCACAGCTCTCTTTTCTCTCAAATTTACTGCAAATTTTAATTTAGGAAAGCTTTTTTTTAATTTTTTCTAGGAATTAAAAAATTTTCTTTTCATTTTTAGACGATTCAATAAGTCAAAGCAGCAATCGTTCTCAGATCTCAATTAATTCTCGACATAATTATACCTTTCAATCGTTCAGGAAGCCTATTGGTAGAGCTGTTCGCGATTTCCTTCATAGAAAATAATTTATTTAAAAATTGTTTTTGTTTTGTTTTATAATCCTACAAATCTTTATAAATATTTAATTAAATAAATAATTAAATAATAATTTTTTTCTATAAACTGTTTTTACTTTTAAATATTTTATTATTTTTTAGTTTTCTTTGATAATTATTTATTTTTTAATGGTTTTAGAAAATGGGCATTGTTGAGAATTTACCTTTACAAATAACTGCTGGAGCTAAACGCCCTTCTTTTGCATTTTTATCAGTTACTGAAAGATGGCCAAAAATTATTGTTGGGATTGTTGATAGATTACACCGTTATTATAATAAAGCAATAGAAGAAGGTGGTCAGGTTTTAGTTTTAAAATTTTATTCTTAAAAGTCTCCGGTTAATTTGTCCTTGCTGTTTTTATAAAAAATTTTATCTGTAACAAAAGGGATTAATTGTAAAAATGGAATAATAAAGTCTAAATGTAAGAAACTCGCAAATATTCGCTCCCCACACCTCCCAACGTGATTTTGTTACTAGTAATTCTTGCCTGGCTTTGACAATGAGTTGCTATCAACATGATTGTTCACTACATCCTTGGTAAAATGAAAATTTTTTGGAAAATATTTTATTATATATAAGATTTCATTTTACCAAGGATGTCCATAATTTTTGATTGTAGACAGCTTTTATTAGAGAAACCCTTACAGATTACTTAATTGTAAGTGTAATTACAAAAAGCTTAATTGGACAAAAAGCTTAACTCCGTCAAACTTTTGGAACTCCCAAACTCAAAACCGACAAAATTTTAGAACCGTTAGCAGCCGTTTTTACTAAATTCTTTCACACACACCATTATAACTTTATATACAGGTTTTATTTACAATACAAACAAAAACAAGGTAATAATACATATGTACAACAATAGGCAAATTATTATGGAACGAGGATAATCGAATTATTATCACATTTACTATCCAACAGCATGTTCCTATCCAATCGGCTGATGATCATTCCTCCTCTTTGCTACTTATTCCGCGATCAACGGCACGTTCAGTTTGAACTCCGACGAACTTCCAGGAGGAAACAGCGCCTTTGCTTCAGTAGCATCTGCTGGAGCAGGAATGAAGTGAACTTCCAGACGACCATCAGCTTTCGGAGGGCCTTCCTGAAGAAACAAAAATTTATTTTATATGATCTTTTGCCTTCTTTCACCGTTCGACGCACAAGAACCGCAGCATTACCGGACGCGTCGACAAAACCGAATACGGGGTTGACACGGTAATGATCGTTGTCGGTGCACTTGACCTTGAAGGCATAGCGACCCTGTAAAAATTGAGATGGTTAAACTACATTAGAAGCCCTAAACACTAAATAAAATGATGCATACCTCAGCGCTGCTGTTCTTCAGCTGTAGCGTGATTTCACCTCCTGCAGCGGGCACCTGAATTGACTCCGGATCGAGCGATACTGCCATCCTTGAAGAGATGTTGTCGATCGTTGAAGTGTGGAGTAGAGCAACTGTAAAACCCGGAGATGGAGAGCGCTTTTATATGTAGTTAGATGCACGACGGTCATTCCAAAACACCGAAATATAAAGTAACTTATAACAACGTCAATGAATAATTCGACCCCGAAAAACTTCCAACTTCCTAAAAAATCTTTGACATGATTAAAATTCGATGCTATATTTCAAAATGCTAAGCGTGGCGGTTAGTAAAATTCTCTCTTGGAAGTTTTTCGGAGTCGAATTATTCATTGACGTTGTTATAAGTTACTTTATATTTCGGTGTTTTGGAATGACCGTCGTGCATCTAACTACATATAAAAGCGCTCTCCATCTCCGGGTTTTACAGTTGCTCTACTCCACACTTCAACGATCGACAACATCTCTTCAAGGATGGCAGTATCGCTCGATCCGGAGTCAATTCAGGTGCCCGCTGCAGGAGGTGAAATCACGCTACAGCTGAAGAACAGCAGCGCTGAGGTATGCATCATTTTATTTAGTGTTTAGGGCTTCTAATGTAGTTTAACCATCTCAATTTTTACAGGGTCGCTATGCCTTCAAGGTCAAGTGCACCGACAACGATCATTACCGTGTCAACCCCGTATTCGGTTTTGTCGACGCATCCGGTAATGCTGCGGTTCTTGTGCGTCGAACGGTGAAAGAAGGCAAAAGATCATATAAAATAAATTTTTGTTTCTTCAGGAAGGCCCTCCGAAAGCTGATGGTCGTCTGGAAGTTCACTTCATTCCTGCTCCAGCAGATGCTACTGAAGCAAAGGCGCTGTTTCCTCCTGGAAGTTCGTCGGAGTTCAAACTGAACGTGCCGTTGATCGCGGAATAAGTAGCAAAGAGGAGGAATGATCATCAGCCGATTGGATAGGAACATGCTGTTGGATAGTAAATGTGATAATAATTCGATTATCCTCGTTCCATAATAATTTGCCTATTGTTGTACATATGTGTTATTACCTTGTTTTTGTTTGTATTGTAAATAAAACCTGTATATAAAGTTATAATGGTGTGTGTGAAAGAATTTAGTAAAAACGGCTGCTAACGGTTCTAAAATTTTGTCGGTTTTGAGTTTGGGAGTTCCAAAAGTTTGACGGAGTTAAGCTTTTTTTCCAATTAAGCTTTTTGTAATTACACTTATAGTAAGTATATGTATAAACAACAATTTTTTATTAACAGGAAAAAGGGGATGATGTCAAATCAGTTATTTCAAAATTGTCAGAAATGCGTTATCGAATGATGACTGACAAACCTTTGGAAAAAATTGTTGATGGAATGTCTGTTGATATTAAATATTGGAATGATGGAATTGATGAATTAACTAAAGTTTTTAAAAGGGAAAAAAATTTTCTAATTTTTTAAGGAAAAAGGGAAAGAAATAAATTGGTATGGAGGCCCTTGGCTTTTTGTTGAATGTTATATGTATTCAAAAATTCAAGAATTTTTTATTCAAACAAAAAATTTGAAATTTTATGATCCATTTCGAGAAGAAAAAGAGAAAAGTTACAAAAATAGTTTTAAATATTTGTTGGCAGTTGGAACGGAAATGGCTGATTTATTGGATAAAAACCATTTGACAACAAATGATTTGCGGGAATCTTTACTTAAATTTCTTCAGGTATTTATGATAGAAAAGTTAGTTTACAAAAGTTTTATCTTATCAATATTTTCTGTACTACAGTCAAATTTCTTTTCTAAATAAAGACACCCCCTAAACTAAAAAATCATCTTATAAGTAGGTTTATCTTAAATTGGGTAGGGAATCATTGCTGCAGATTTATTTAATAAGATCCCTCATCAAAAAATTTTTGACAAAGAAAATCAAAAAATAAAAGTAACATTCTCCCCTGCTTTCCTGTCAAAAACTTTTGGGAACACTTCTATAATTGAAATAATTTTATATTTTATTAAAAAAAATTAATTTAACAGATCTCACTTTGGGGCAATAAATGTGATCTTTCTCTTTCTGGCGGTGATCCTCATTTAATGTCAGAAAAGATTTTTCACGATTTGGATGATTTAAAACCAAATATTTTGGTTGATGATTTAGAATTGGCTGTAACTGAATTTCTCTCTCAACACAAACAAATAGATGTTGTTTTGGACAATGCTGGTCCTGAATTGTTTACGGATTTATGTCTTGCTGATTTTCTTATTTCAAATAATTTGGCAAATAAAATAATTTTACACGGAAAGGTATATTTACTAGATTTAAACATTTAATTTTATGAATGAAAAATAATTGCCAGGAATGCACCGAATTTTCGTTTTTTTGTTAATTTGTGATTTTTTTCGACATTTTTTTGATTGGAATTATCCCAGACATTTTTTGAAAATTTTGTTGAAGGAATTCAAAAGAAGAAAAATTAAGAATATTTTTTAATAATTTTTAGATTATTCCTTGGTTTGTTTCTGACACAACCAAACATGATTTAGAATGGTTGCTAGAACAATTATCTGCTGAAAGTGAACCTGTATTGGCTAGATTTGGAAAACATTGGAAGAATTATTTGACTAAAGTAATTTATCTTTAAAAAATTAATAAACTCTTAAACAATTTTTAGGGAATTATTGAATATAAAACGCATCCATTTTGGACTTACGGTAAGAAATATTGCATTAAACCTTTTAAATTATTGGACGATTTAAGGCCACGCCTATTGCAGAATGAAAGAAATTGCACCAAATCTTTATGAAGAATTGAGCTTGTCTTCTATGTTAATTTTTAAGGGGGATTTGAATTACAGAAAATTGGTTGGAGACAGAGAATGGCAGTTAGAGACGCCTTTTAAGGTTAGAATAATTTTGGACGTGGGGATAAGAATGGCTCGAATTTTTCATTCTAATGTCCTTTCGTGTTTTCGAAATGAACCGAAAATATTTGGTTTTAGTTAGCGAAGTAAAATTACTCGTCGATATAAGCAAGAATATCTCTATAGCCCCAATAGTTGGTTGAATATGTTCCTCTGCCAAAAATAAAAAAAATTATTTTTCCAGACAGCCCTCTGCGGTTTTGAACCAGCACCTTTGCTAGCACTTAGAACATTGAAAGCTGAAACTGTAGCGGGTCTAACGTCAAAGGCCGTCCAATTGATTGAGAGCAAATTTGAGAGGAGTAACCTCACCTGGATGACTTCAAGTGAATATGCTGTTGTTCAACTTTTTGTTCCGGCCAAAAAATAGAAAATATTTTTATTAGGGGAAAAAATATAAAATATTATTGTTGGGATGTGATAATTAATAAGAAATATCTCAAAACATGCTCGAAACCTATCATTGTTTTCGGGGGTTTAACCAAATAATTTAGAAATAAAAAAATTATTTTTAGCCTTCCATTCCAACCAAAAAATCCGCAACATTTTCGGTTTCAAAAGAGGTTTTGAGTTTTACCCTAATTTATAGTATTGTAATTAGAATTTTAATTTATTTTTAAAGTAATAAAAAATTAAACGTTAAAAAAAACCAAAATGATCGCCGTCATTTCGCATACAAAAGCACTATTTCTAAGATTTTGTACGAGAAATACAGTAATCATGTGGATTTTTAATAAAATTTTAAAACAAATTTAAATTAGTTTTTATTAAACAGAAATTCAAGAAGTGAAGAAAATTTAAAAAATTTCAAAGGCTTCCCTAACAACCGCCCTCTAAACTGAATTTTTCTTCTAAAAGTTCAAAAATATACTGTCAAGGAAGCCTCCCAAATTTAATAATTTAAAGAATAATATAAATTTATAAATAAAATAATTTTGTATATAAAAATAATTTTGTATGAATATAAATCTGTCAAAACAATATACAGCAAATATACAGTCAGATCTCGCTGTAAAATACCCGCAGAACTAGAAGATATTCATGTTTAAATGTTCTTTTAAAATTTTGTTTTTTTTTAATTTTTTGCTTAAGCTACCCCATAGTTAAAATTCGTATTTTAACCCCAAAGTTCTGAATGTATACTTTCTTAAAATATAGGCAAGGTTAAAAGATATCACATTCGAAAAACTCCATATTTAGTCCTCTCCACATCCTCAGTTTTATATCCACAAAGTGTTGCTTGGAGAGCGAGACCGAGAACTTGCCTAGTATTGGCAGGGTCAATGACACCTTTTTAAAAAAGATAAAATCAGTATAAAAATTAAAAAAATAATCACCATCATCCCAGAGACGTGCAGAAGCAAAGAAGGGGGATCCCTCACGCTCAAAACGCTCTTCAACGGGTTGTTTGATTCTGCGTTCCTCTTCTTCAGTCAAAGGTTCAGAATCTGCTCCAGATTGTTTCCGTGCACGCTTTTCTCTTTGGATTTGGGCCAGAACATTGGCTGCTTGTTCACTACCCATGACAGAAATTCTTGCATTCGGCCACATGAACAAAAATCTAAAAATGAATGTTAAAAAATAGTAAAATATAAATTGATTTGGATTGGAATATTTAATTTTTTAACAAATTTTCTCTAAATCCCAAAAAGTTTGATAAAAATTGAGAAGTTATCTATATGAAATGATAACCAGAGCTGTTTTAAGACAAAAAAAATTTAAAAATCGAAATAAAACTAGAAAACCAAAATTTCTAAATGCTCTATTGCCACCAAAAAACAAAAATGTTATTTAAAAAATTCATTAAAAATAAATTCTACAGAATGCAAATTTTCCACAAAGACTAAGAAACCCACAAAATTTTCGGTTCGTTGTATAGCAAAAAAGCAAAAAAACCCAGGAAAGGATAATCCTCAAACAAATATAACCAATATTTCTTTAAAAAATATTTTTATACGGTAATATACTCATTTTTATTTTATTGGTTTTTGTTATTTTCAAGCAAACATTTACATACGGCTTACAATTAGGAATTTTAAAAAAGTTTTTATCACCCCATAAATTAGACAAATATTACCTAGGTGAATAAGCTCTTCCACACATTCCATAGTTCCCAGCTCCATAAGAACCTCCAATTAATAAAGTTAATTTTGGTACGTGTGCACAAGCAACGGCAGTAACCATCTTTGCACCGTGTTTAGCAATCCCTTCAGCTTCAGCATCACGTCCAACCATAAAACCAGTTATGTTCTGTTAAATGTTAATATTTAAATATTAAAATTAGGGATCAGGCAAAATCAAAATTTTAATCTCTTTTATGAGAAATTCGACAAGGTTAACTAACATTTTGTTAACAACCTTGTCAGCAACTAAACTCAACAAATTTGTCTATTGACGGCCAATATCCCCAACCAGGATAAAATATATTTTCAGGAATTTTAGAATGAGAATAATTAAAAAAACAAAGATAAATTTACCTGAAGGAAAATTAAAGGAATATTTCGCTGACAACAAAGTTGGATAAAATGAGCACCTTTCATTGCTGATTCACTTAACAAAACGCCATTATTGCCTGAGGGAGTTTATATGTTAAAGGAATAAAAGGAAAGCCGCTTACCAACAATTCCAACTGTGTGGCCAAACAAATGAGCGAATCCAGTTACCAAAGTTTCGCCGTAAAACTAAAAAGGAAATTTTTTAGTGTCAGGGCAATCTAACCAATGACCCAAATAAAAATACCTTATAACCAAAACTTATAAATTTAAATAACCACTAAAAAATTTTTTTTAAATTGACGGTCAATATAAGAAAGCGAAGGTTTGTCCTTATCCCCGACCCGGATAAAATATGCTTTTTATATATCTCTTCCCCCACTTCATACTTGTTTAAATTCATTAAAACGAGATCCATCAACAATTCTTGCAATTATTTCTCGAACATCGTAAGCTTTTCTTTGTTTTCCATCACTCCCAATAATTCCATAAATTTCATTAGAAGGAAATAAAGGCTCTTCTATTTGATTTTTTAATTCAAAATTTTGTTGTAAAGGCAATCCAGCAATAATTTGACGAGCTATCGCCAATGCATGTTTATCGTTTCTTGCAAAATAATCGGTTACTCCGCTCTTCCGGCAATGTAAATCAGCACCTCCAAGTTCTTCAGCAGTCACCTAAAAAAGTTTGTAAAGGAAAATAAAATGTATTGAGGTTTGTAGACAAAAAAATAAAAGATAACCATAAAATTGAAAAATCAAAATATAATTTAACCACAAGAAAATAAAATGTTCTTGAAGTGACGGCCTATGGAAAAAGCCCATTATTGGATCTTACTTAACTTTCCCGATTTAAGAAATATTTTTAATTTTGTTAAAACCTCCTCGCCAGTAGCAGCCTTCACAAGTGGAGGACCACCTAGGAAAACAGTCCCTGTTCCTTGAACAATAATTGACTGGTCAGCCATAGCAGGAACATAAGCACCTCCAGCAGTACAGGATCTATTTTTAAATTTATTGGAATATTTATAAGCAGGAAATGGGGAATTTTAATAATTGTTCCAATTTTAAAATAAATCAAATAACAGTTAAAGTTAAATGAAAGTTAAAATGAAAAATTAAAATGAAAATTTTATTTAGCACAATCACAAAGGTCCAAACATATTTAAAAAATATTTTCTGATTAGACCAAACCCGAGTGTGCAAATCAACAAATCTGTTTTAAATGATCTCTGTTTTACTTACTGTCAAAAATTTTTTAATTTTTTGGTAACATTTATCAGTCCAAAATAACGATAACTTAATAAAATATTTTTATTAAAAAAGTTTACCCCATAACAATTGCAATTTGTGGAATTCCTTCAGCTGACATTGTTGCTTGATTGTAAAAAATACGACCAAAATGTTCTCGATCAGCGAAAATTTCTGCTTGACGAGGTAAATTAGCCCCACCAGAATCAACCAAATAAATACAGGGAAGTCTTTGATTAATTTAAAAATTAAATTATTTAAATAAAATAATACCTATTCTCTCTTGCAATTTCCTGCGCCCTTAAATGTTTTTTAACAGTAATGGGATAATATGTCCCTCCCTAAAAATTAATATAAAAATAATAAATTTTGTTCAAAAAAACTTTAACGGTCGCATCATTTGCCGTTATAACACAAAGTCTGCCTGAAACCATCCCCAAACCAGTAATAATTCCACCAACAGGCACTTTCTCCTCTCCATACAAATTATATCCAGCCAATTGAGAAAGTTCCAAAAAAGCACTTCCTGGATCTTTTTTAAAAAATAAATAAAAATATTTTTTAAAACAAAAAACCAATTAAAAGTTCGACGCGTTCTCTAGCCAACATTTTCCCCTTCTTTTTGTGATTAAGAATTGTTGATAGTTCAACATCTTTTCCCTCAACAATTTGTGAAACAATTTGGTTAAAATCGTCTAACTAATTAAAAAAAAATAAAAATTAAATAATTGAAAATTAAACAAACAATTTCAAGCATTTTTGCTTCGCTATGCCGAAATTCTTTCGTTTGTGGATTAATTGAACTTTGCAATGCCGGCCAGAAATTGGATTTTTTAACATTTGTTTGATGAAAATAAGCAACAGAAAAAATATTGTTCCTAAAAAAATTAATTAAATAATAAAAATATTTATAAAAAAACCTTTTAGATTGAAAGCCAAACCTTTCAAAGTTTTTAAAAATAAAATTAAAAAACATTAAAATTCAGAAATTTACAAGAAAATTCAAAAAATTATTTTACCTTTGCTTGACATTTTGTACAATTCTCAACTTATTAGGCATTTTGAAAATATTATTTAATGTTTACATTTTGAAAAGTGAAAGAATCAAAAATACAAAATGCCTAAAACAAAAAGGGACAATTTAAAATTATTTTGAGGTTGGAAATTAAAAAGCCACAAATATCTTTTTAACACACTATTTTTTGGTTGTTTTTCACTTTTCCCTCCCACAAGAGTCTGAATTATCGGCAGTGCCGTTTCCACATTTTTTATTTTTATTATATTTTACTTCGTATAATTTTAGATGACATCTTCTTCACCAAACTCAGCAGATACGGGATCAAAAATTATGTTCACTAGACAAGATGAATGGAAAAATACAGGGAGCCCAGATGGGGAAATTAAAGTTTTTCGACCGACTATGGAGGAATTTAAAAATTTTGGCAAGTATATGGAATATATTGAGCAACAAAATGCTCATCTTTCTTCTGGTGTTTGCAAAGTGAGTAGATTTAGAAAATCTATAGGAGAATAGCAATAAGCATTTTTAAATTTGCGAAGTGTTTTCTCTTCTTTTTTGATCTTTTGGATTATGACATTCTTTACTTGAATATATTTTTATTCGTTAAAGTTTATCTATTTTCTTTTCATTACAGAAAAATTATTTAGGTTATTCCTCCAGAAGGTTGGTATCCAAGGCCTTCAAAACTGCCCGACGATTACTCTGATATTGACGATTTTATAATTGAATGTCCAGTGTAAGTTTATTATTTAATTATTAAAAAAATACTTTGTTGTGGTAGACTTTGTGGGGAAAGTATAAGGTATATTAAGTTGAAATTAACAGCTGGAATTTAACTCTGACTGTTTAATGGGACAAAATGTCATTTTTATAACGTCAAGTCGTTTTGATTTTTCTAAACATGAAAAATGTCTATATTTTAGAGGTCGGCAAAATCGCATTTGCGGGATCCCGCGGGATAAAATTTTTTAAAAAATCTTTGCGGGACGGGATCCCGCGGGATAAATCCCGCAAAATCCCGCATTTTAAATTTGCGGGATCCCGCGCGGGATTGCGGGATTTTCCAAAAATCGTTAAAATTATCAATATCTATTGAAAAAATCGATTTCCTAATCATTAACGGGTTCCTTACTCGTACTCGTTCCTCGTACACGTATTGTACCTCGTACCAATTTACGAGTATAAGTTGGTACAAAGGTATAATCACTTATCCCAGGTCCCCAATTATCAAAAAATCATAAGGGGCAAGCTCATACATATTCGTCGGAAGTGAGCTTGAGCCGAAACAAAAAATAGCTTGAGCTGAAACAAATGGGATCAATCATCGTGATAAAACAATTTAGGCAATTTTGTTTTGATGAAATAGAGATGATTTCATGTGCGGCAGGCGAAAATTTTGGAAGGCCAAGTATCCAATTTCCTAAATTTTTCAGCGCCGCAGGCAAAAATTTCGAGATTTTAGAAGGCCAGCGAGTCAAAATTCTCCTTTTTCTAGCGCCGCAGGCGAAAATTTTTTGAATTTAGAAGGTTAGGAGCCAAGATCCTCTATTTTCCAAAAATCCCGCAAAATTCAAAATATTTTGCTGGATCCCGCGGGATAAAATTTTTTTAAATCTTTGCGGGACGGGATCCCGCGGGATAAATCCTGCACTCCCGCAAAATCCCGCAAATCGAAAAAAGTGCGGGATTGCGGGACGGGATCCCGCAAAATCCCGCGCGGGATCCCGTCCCGCGCCGACCTCTACTATATTTAATAAAGTATCGCCGATATTTCGTTTCCTTTTAGTTTTATATTTTTTAGGAGAGAACGAATTGAAAGTATGGGAAACGGCTGTCACGTTAAAAATAATGTTGTTTACAGAAAAGAGATGAAGGTTAAAGATTTTCGTAGAATGGCTTTATCAAAACAATACGGAACGCCTCAAAAGAATTATGACTTGTACAATTTAGAAAAGTGAACTTCTTTTTTTAGAAATTTTATTAAAATTTATTTTTCAGACATTTTTGGCGTAATTTATTGCATCACGAACCTATTTATGGAGCTGACACGCCTGGTTCTATTTATGATTCTGATGTTAAAGAGTTTAATATGAATTGCCTCGGAACGATTTTAGACTTGCTTAAGGAGGAAAAGGTTGGGATTTTTTGTTTATTATGTACAGAAATTTTGCGAAAAGTTATTTTCACTTTCAATCTTTATAAAATGATTTCGAATTGATAAATTTGAATTACCAGCAATTATTGTCAAATTAGTTATTTAGGTAACAATCAAGGGTGTTAATACAGTGTTTTTATATTTTGGCATGTGGAAAACAACATTTCCTTGGCATGCGGAAGACATGGATCTTTATTCAATAAATTATTTACATTTTGGAGAGGTTTAATTTTAAATGAAAATTTTTTTAAACTTTATTTTCTCAATTTAAGCCAAAATTTTGGTATGCAATTCCCTCTCATGCAGCCGAAAAATTTGAGAGATTGGCAGCTCAGCGCTTTCCAGACGGCTTACAAATTTGCAAAGCTTTTCTTCGACATAAACTTTATATTATATCCCCAACTGTTTTAAAACAAAATGGAATTCCTTATGGAACTATGGTTCAATACCCTGGAGAATTTATAATAAGTATATTTTTATAAATGCTATCGGGTTGTCCGACCCGTAAATTTTTACTTTAAAAAACAAAAAAAAATAATTTGGGCATTAGAGTTTTTTCTGTTTTTGAATTACAATAATTTTATTTTTGTCACAAATTTTCTTTCAAACATAAATCCCGGGAATTTATATTCAACAACAAAAATCTCGATTTTTTCCATTTAATGTACAAATTTTAAAAGATTAATCTTTTAAATTTTAGCTTTTCCAAAAGGCTACCATATGGGGTTTAATACTGGTTATAACTGTGCAGAGTCTACGAATTTTGCATTGGAGAGATGGATTGATTATGGTTCTTTTATTATTAAATTTTTTTAATTGAAATAATAATTTAGGAAAAAATGCTGTTCTGTGTTATTGTCGAAAAGACACTGTTGAAATCGATATGCGACCTTTTATGAAGAAATACAGACCTGAGGAATATCGTGAATGGTTCGTTTTTGACTAAAATTAAGTTTTTTAAAATATTTTTAAGGTTTGATTATTGGTATGGAGAAAGAGCATCAACTTATAGTTTGTTTTGCTTTTTTATTTTTTAAAAATATTTTTGAATTCTATTTAGAACCTACAAAACCAGACACCATAAAAACACGAAAACGAAAGGGTAGTCAGGACAGTGGTGGAGGGAAAAGTGAAACAGGCAGTGAGGACAGTTCAATAAATTTGCCTAGATCAATTTGTACGAAACGTCAACGGAAAATTTTTCAAGCAAGGAAACCAATGTTTGACCTCTGGGCAAATCGTCCAGTCAATTTATTTGCTGAAAAAACTCATAATAGTCGTTGCGGCAAACTGTTTCCTCATTGTTGTGTTTGCCAATATTTTATATCTAAAGAAATTTGGAATTCGCTTCCGCCAGTGGAAAGTTTGCCAAAAAGGTTTTTTTAATTATTGTTTATTTCTGGAGTAAAAACTGTTAAATTATAAAACTTTTAAATTTATACAATTTTTTACAATTTTTCTTTAAGTTCTCGACGTTATGTAACTGATCAAATGTTCTATAAAGAAAAACACCTTAAAAATCTTGATTTGAAAATTTGTGAAGACGAACTTTTAGAATGCTCAAATTGTTATATGGTTGTACATAAAAATTGTTATCCTTGTGGAGGAACAAAAATAACACCCGAAAGTTTGTTTAGATTTTATTTTATACAATTTTATAAAATTTCATAGTGAATGAATGTTGGTTATGTGAACGTTGTTATAATCGGAATGATGTCCTTATCCGCACTACTTCATGTAGATTATGTGAACTTCGAGGAGGGGCTTTATTGGAATGTGAAGGAATGTTTGGTGAAGGAAGCGATTTTGTTCATGTTATTTGTGCATTAATGGATAGAGGAACTCGTTTTTTGAAACCTGAAAATCGTTCTGCTCCATTTAGTCCTCCACCTAAAAGGTTATTAACAACACAGTCATCTATTTCGGAAAGAAATGGTTCTAGTCCAAATTTGCTTCAACAACAGACACCTATTATTTCAAATACTTTAAATGTTGATTCTTTTGGTGATTCAGGGATCTCTGAAATGTTTGAAAATTTTATTGGATATTTTAATGGGAAGTGGAACTAGGGGACTGGCCAAGAAGGCCAATCGCGTACATTATACATAAATTTATTTCTTTTTTTAGTAAATCGCCAATAACTTTTACTCCATTTCAATGTCTTTCACCATCCCAAAATGATGTTAATAACACTTATTTGAATACCTTTGTTGAATACAAAGAATGTTCCCCATCCTCAAGTTGTCATTCACTACCAATTCCCTGCCAAGAATTAACTGTTGCAATGAGGAATTCTAATCAACAATTTTCTGAATATTCGGCAAGCTACGAATGCGAAGGTTTTTTTTATTTAATATCGTTGCCGTAAGCGGTAGAACTTCTATTTCGGAAAGAAATGGTTCTAGAAGAATGTGTTTTACTTGATCAAAATTCCCTTAATTTTTTCGATTTTGAAGTAAATGGGCAAGAGGGTTTCAAATGACTCTAACTCGATTTTTACTTTTTTTTATTAGTTTGTGGCCAACAGTCAGAACATCTTATTCGTTGCAATATTTGTCTTTCAAGTGAAGAAGTTGGTGCAAAACTTCGTTTTCACATTACTTGTGCTCCACTTGCTGATGTTACTTTTGAACGAAGACATTACCCAGAAAATGTTATTGCTGTATGTTCCTTTCATCACAGTGATCAACAAGATGATCCAGGTTTTTTTTTAATATTTTTTCTAAATACATATTTTGAATTTCTTTTAGTCTATACTGATGTCCAAAAATTTCAAATTAATCAAGAAGTTATTGTTCATCAAGAAGGTGATGACAACGAAGAAAATCTTACCGGTGTTGGCCGTATTGTTGGAATAACAGAACATTTATGTGCTACTGTTGATTTTTTGGATGGAACAATATCAGGAGACCTTTTTCTTGGAGAAATTAGAAATTGTGAATGTAAATGGTTTGGCTGTAGTGGTGGATCACACATTCCAGGATCATTAGTATTTTCTTAGATATTATAGAGAAATCATCTAAAATTAAAGGTTTATGTTGATTGGCCTGATGAAAAGATCTATGAAGCTTATTACCGTGGGAAAATGCCAAAACCTCGATTTAAAATAAAATTAACGCCGCCGTTTAAAACACCAAATGATGATTTAATTGAAGTATTTCTGGATTTTTTATTTTTAAAATTTATGATTTTAAGGTTGGAGCAGAATGTATTTATTTTGGGGACGAGCAACTTCCAGAGGGTGTGCACGAACATTTGAGGAATGCTTACAGAGGCTCACAACAATCTATCTAATAAAAATTTAATAATTGTATTTCTGACCTAAAAACTTTGCTGCTTTCACAATAGAACCAAAGCTTTCGAATTTTAAAATTTTTCACATTATTTAATATTTTTAAAATTTGTCTTGTTAATTAAAGTTTATTTTTTGGTAATTCGACGATAAAATGGTCGATTCATGAAGAACTTTATGTGACCTAAAAAAGGTGCTAACGAGTTGGAAGGTATCAAATCTATTTTCGGATCGTAGATTTCATATTGTAGCGTAGAAACGTGTCATGAAATTCAAAAGTAGGCAATAAAATCTAAGAGTAATTGTAGACGAAGAATGGTGGAAACAATAAAACACAATTACTATTTTATTCTAGTTAAGGAACTATGTTAGAAAGCTAGTCTTATAAAGCATCAATTTCAAGAGTAGTTGTAGTAATTAGATAATTCCACTGTCTAAACAAATAAAAATTAAACATTAACAATTTATCTCAAGACAATTTAACAGTACTGAATTTATAAAAAATCACTTCTTAACAACTCCTTTAGTCTTCAACAATTTGCTAGCAATTTGTTGTTCCTCAACCTAAAAATTGTATTAAAGTTAATTGTAAACTAGATTAATTAAAAATAACCAAAAATGCCCGGATAATTCGCTGGCGAACGGCAGCAGCGCTCAAACAACCTCCGTATGCACGGGTCACAGTTTTAAGTCGTTTAGTCATCTTAGAAAGTTGACGAGGACGAGCAGCTTTAATCTAACGAGATAAAAAAAAGTTTATTTAAAAATAAATTCAAAGACAAACTCCTTTAAGTGGAACGCCAGTATCACCACATTTGGGAATTGATCCTTTCTTTTTGCGATAATGAAGAACATTGCGGCCACCAGGAGTTTTGACAACTTTTGTTTTGTTAGATTTTGTATTGTAACATAATCTTCGACGATACGTTAAACGTTGAGGCATTTTTTGTTTTTCTAAACGTTAAACAGAATCTAAACAAATAATTAATAGTTTAAAGATAAATATGAATCCCGACAAATTTTTTAAAACCGCTAGATCTTCTAAAAAAATCCGGAATCCCTAAAGAAATGCGAGAAACAGAAAACGAGAAAAAAATTTTAGAATTGACACTTTTTTGAGGGACACGCCCAAGTATGCGCGCGGCCATAACGGCGCAAAGCCATAACTTGCTGGAAATCTCCTGGTCTTAATCAACTTTGGACCAATCTCCTTAGCTCGATGAGTGGAATTGTTTAATACTAAATTTGGTAAGATTCAGAAATCTTGAAGCAAGTTATAGCTTTGCGCCGTTATGGCCGCGCGCCTATTTGGGCTGTAACCCTTTTTTGGTACATGGCACATTTAATCGCGACTATTTTCAAGCCCATTTAAACGCAAAGCATGCAAACCAAAAATTCTGCTTATTTTGCATCCATCTGTGTCTCTTCTCTTTTCAAATTTCTTAAAAATGTGCAGCTATTACATTTGTTTAAAAACTATTTTTGATTGAAGGGTACATTCTCACTCCCAATCACTTTTTGGAAATCCCATTAGAGTCTTACAAATAAAGGACGATGACTCACACATAAAGGAGTGTCTCAGACTCTAATGCGCATTTCCTTCTGGAGATCGATTTTTCTTTTGTAGTTTGTCAGTAAAATTTAGACTGGCACTAGAACGTGGAATTGTTGCAAAGAATAACTTAAATAATTTCCACGTGTTTATAGAATATGTGTTAATTTATCTTTTAAAAATTCCCCAATTTTTTTAGAGAAAATTAATTTAATTACAACGGTTCCTTTATTTCGTCCAACTTTATTTAATAAATTATTACGTTCTTCGATCTCTGTTTTACATCGTAATAGAATTATTAATAATACAAAAATGGACCCAGAAGAAGCTGCTAAAGAAGAGGCTGCAAAAAGAGATCATCGCAAAATTGGAAAAGATCAAGAGCTTTTTGTTTTTATTCCTATGAGTCCGGGATCGGTAATTAATTTTTTTTTATTTTTACTTTTTTAAAAATTAATTTTAAGGCTTTTTGGTATCCAAAAGGAACGTTTATTTATAATACGTTGGTCAACTTTATGAGACAGGAGTATCGAAAAAGAGGCTTTTTGGAGGTTTGTTTTTTAATACTTGTTAATTTGGGAGGGCCCCGTAATTGGGGCATGTTTTTGTGATGAATTTAGAATTCGAACAGATTTTTGTGTTTTTCAATAATTTCTCACAAATTTTTTGTTTCACAAATATTTTTCTTTTTAACAGGTAATGACGCCGAATATTTATAATGTTAAACTTTGGGAGCAGTCTGGTCATTGGCATCATTATGCTGATAATATGTTCAAGTAAATTTTTGAATTTTTTTACATGTCATTTACATAAATATTTGAGATTTGAAATTGAAAAGGAGCAATATGGTTTGAAGCCGATGAATTGTCCTGGGCACGTTTTGATGTTTGATCATAAGCCCCGTTCTTATAATGAGCTTCCGATTCGTTATGCTGATTTTGGTGTTTTACACAGGTTTTTTTCTTCATATGGTTGGGAAATATCCTGAATGTTTAGGAATGAAATGAGCGGCGCTTTGGGTGGTCTTACAAGACTGAGACGTTTTCAACAAGATGATGCTCATATTTTCTGTCGTTCTGATCAATTAGCGGATGAAATTACGGCTTGCTTGGATTTTTTAAATTTTGTTTACGTCGACGTTTTTGGATTCTCTTTCAAATTATTTTTGAGTACGCGGCCGGAGGAGAGCTATTTGGGAGATATATCTAGTTGGGAATTAGCCGAAAAAGAGTTGAGTGGAGCATTGGAAAGTAGTGGACATGATTGGGAATTAAATGCTGGAGATGGAGCTTTTTATGGGCCTAAGGTTTTTTAAAGAAATTTTAAAAAATAATTTTAAGTTTAGATTGACATGCAAATTGTAGATGCTCTCGGCCGTTATTGGCAAACTGCTACAATTCAATTAGACTTTCAACAGCCTCAGCGTTTTGATTTGCATTATTTTGAGTAAAAATTTTTAAATTAAAAGTTATTTTGTGACAAGGAAAGGGAATTTTTGTTTAAAAAAATTTTGTGGTGCAGGACCCCTTAAAATTTCGCAAATAAAAAAAGTGCAGAGTCCTTAACTGGTCAATATTTTATAAATATTTTTCAGTGAGAACAAAGAGCGCCATCGTCCTGTTATGGTAAGTATTCCACATATTTAAATTCTCTTGATATTGACACTAAAGGAAAGGAGTGGCTGATCAATCTTTTTCTTGCTTCCTATTTTTACCTATACTTTTTAAATAGTTTGATATGTTCAATTTTCCTATGTTTTTAATTTTGTACTATAATTGTTCGCTTAATGTTAAAAGAAGAAGTATTTGACTTTTTAAATTTTGAAAATGTTGATTAGACACCCCCTTTACTATTACTTCCAAAATATTTTTAACAGATTCATCGAGCTATTCTCGGCTCTGTTGAAAGGTTGATTGCAATTTTGGCTGAAAACTATGCTGGAAAATGGCCGTTTTGGCTTTCTCCTCGACAAGCAAAAATTATTTGTGTCCATCCAAATATCGTTGATTATGCTACTCAAGTTAAAGAAAAAATATTTAATTCTGGATTTGAAATAGAATTTGATGAAGATTGTCCAGATACTTTAAATAAAAGAATTAGAAATGCACAATTGGAACAATTTAATTTTATTTTGGTCGTTGGGAAGAGAGAAAAGGAAAACGGGACGGTTAATGTTCGAACGAGAGATAATCAGGTAAAAAAATATTTTTAAAATTATTTTCTTTTTAAGAACTATTTGGAATTATTTTTAAAATGTTTTCTGACATTTGCACTACGATATTTGCGCAGATTTTGAAGAATACCCCTTCTGTTCCTTCAAATTTTAATTTTTGTTAGATTTCCTAATCTAAAAACACGAAGAAGAAATTCATAAATTATTAAAAATATTTTTAAAAATTCTTTTTCAATCTTACACAAAATTTCAGGTTCGTGGTGAGATGAAAGTTGAAGATTTAATTAAGAAATTTGCAAAATTCCGTGATACGTTTGCAAAAGATACGGAAAGTGCTGAAGCTTTTGTTGAAGAAAATAATAAAGAAGAATAAAAAGGAAGAGAAGAATTTGTTGAGACTTTAAATATTGGCTTCTTAATTAAGTATTTATTTAAAATGATGGAAAAAACATTCTCAACTTTAAAAAAATTATTTTGTTATTTAAATTGTGTGTAATATGTGAATAAATGTGTTTTGAATTGATAAAATGAGTTTTGGAAAATAAGATTAAAGAGAATCTTGTACAAAATTTTAACCCAGCTTGAAGAGCTCTCAATTTATATGTATATGAGAAACTATAGATCAAGCAAAAAAGCTAAAAATGGGGGCAAGGAATCAGGAGAAAGCGTGGGGGGGGGGTCTAAATCAAACTACCTTATTATCTAAATTTATATTAAACCTAGTATTTTTATTTCCTTTTTAATGATTAATTAAAATTTCATGTGAACTGAAATTTTAATAATAAAGTTTCTCTACATTTTTAAAAAGTTTTCAATTTTATTTTATTGTCCTCTTCTTGTTTTTCCTCGAATGAATATTGTTTTTTAAAAACAAATTATTATTATTACTATTCTCCTTTCAACTTTTTATTCATAACTACATCCCCTCCACATTTTTATTTCCTAGCAATCCCCAAATAACCTCCTTCCAACATTTGAAAACAAAAGAAAAAAAAAGACTGTCCTCCTCCTCCTCCTTCCCCCGTAGCTTCTTCTTCCCCTTTTATTTTTATCTACTGCCGCCATCTCCAATTTTTTAGCCGAGCCCTTTTATTATTCTCAGGAATGCCTTGGCTATTTCTTTCCTTTTTAATGTAAAGATATCTTTAATGCCAAGATTTGACCAAAGAAAGCAATATATACATACTTTTTATTAAAAAAAAGAAACTGAGACTTTCTTAGAAATAAAAATATTTTTATTTTAATAAAATGTTTGTTTTTGTTTTTGTTATCTCCAACTTCAAAAACTTGGATTGTTGTCATTATTCAAAAAAGTTATAAGCCCCAAAGTCCTAAAACTTTGGGGGCTTATAACTCAGTCCACGGTTCCATTCAGCAAAAATGGTGCAAATTTCACAACAAGTAGGGTATTATCTACCTGTCTACCAAATTTCATCCCGAAGTCCAACGGACACCTCAGGCACTCTCCCTTTGTCAGTGAAGAAAAATAAAGGGTAATCTTCTAGTTTACTGGTCCCGAGAAAAAAATTAGGAAGCAGTGCTGTTTCGATATTTTTGAAGGTTACCAGTAGGTAATCGACCATGCTGAGTCCGAATCTGAGCCTAGAATTTGCTTATTTCGAACCCCGGACCCGGATTCGACCAAGTCGAATTAGGGGTAAAAATTCGAAATTAAAAATTTAGGGCTATTCTGACACGACTATTCGAGTAGAGTAGAATGATATCAAAATTATGATGTTTTGACAATATTGGATGAAGTTATGATGTCGGTTTTCTACACAAAAGTCTATAATAACGTGTATTTAATTGATCATAACTTCGTTTAAAATGGTCGAAACTTAATAATTTTGTACCATTTGACTCAAGATAAAGAGACGAGTCAGAATAACCATAATATCGTAATTTCAAATTTTTACCCCTAATTCGACTTGGTCGAATCCGGGTCCGGGGTTCGAAATAAGCAAATTCTAGGCTCAGATTCGGACTCAGCATGGTCGAATACCTACTGGTAACCCTCAAAAATATCGAAACAGCACTGCTTCCTAATTTTTTTTCTCGGGACCAGTAAACTAGAAGATTACCAAATAAAGAAAAACTTGTCTAAACAGTTTGGTTCCGTGACTTTTGCGCCGAGAACATTTGCGCCGCGACTTATGCGCCGCGACTTTTGCGCCGCGACTTATGCGTCGAGCGACTTTTGCGCCGGGGGACTTTTGCGCCGCGACTTTTGCGCCGCCACTATCATTAAAAATATATCAATAACTACAGCCGGACCTCACTTTAGTAGGGTTGACGAATAGTTGGAAATCTTCGGATCTGATATCCGAACTGAAAATTTCGGATATCCGGCATTTTTCGGATCCGGATTTTCTAAACAATGGCGGCGCAAATGTCGCGGCGCATAAGTCGCCCGGCGCAAAAGTCGCGGCGCAAGAGTCGCGGCGTAAAAGTCGCCCGGCGCAAAAGTCGCGGCGCATAAGTCGCGGCGCAAATGTTCTCGGCGCAAAAGTCGTGATACCAACAGTTTTATTGTTTAATAACCTTGTTTAATTTCTTCTATTTACTGCTAAAAAATCATCATTTATTTTCCCAATAATTTAATTACAATAAATATTTTTCTCCTCATTAAAAAATTTTTAAACCTCCTCTCTCTTTTTTTGTTTATTTCTTTCATTGTTTTTTTAAATAGGAAATGAATTTTAAACAAAGGAATTATTTAAAGCTTTGGCGCCAATGAAAGGAAAGAAAGAGAGGGAAAGTACATAAAAGGGAAAATAATGTCAACCATTTTCTACTCTTTTTTTTAAACGTGGGAGAATCTTTTCTAGAAAAAATACTTTTTTTGTTTTAAAAATTTGGTAAAAATTCCTTTTATTTTTGGCATTTTCTCACAATTAAATAAATAGTTTTTGTTAACTTTCTATTGTAAAGCATATACATATGTATGTAACTAATTAATTTCTAAAGCTGTGCAGTAGACGGCGTTGGTGTAATGGATGATAACACATCAGTCCAGTCTACTGAATATGCTGGTTCGCTTCCAGCCGCCGAATAACCTTTAGCACTAGCTAAAGGAGAGAAATAGCTATAGCCCAGCTCCGCTTTACTCTATTTTGAATTTATTCAACTCTCGTCATACAAGAGCTAAACAAAGGTTTAGCTCTTGTATAACGCTAAACAACAGGAAATGAACCTGTGAACCTTCTGACAAATTATTGTTAGTAGCTTTGCCAATCATTCTTTTAGTCGCTTTACTAACTGAGCTACTGTGGAAACCTTCCTTACAGTAAATAAATATTTCTTTTTGTCTTATTTTGAGTTTCTGAATTCTAATAAATTTCCTTATTAAAATTTTTATTTTTTCGAAAATCTATTCCTTTAAAATGAAAGAAAGCTTCAAATAAAAAATATAAAATTTATTATTATCTATAATATTGCGTGCTCGAGTATTTTTAAGAGAAACTTAAAAAAATGTAAATATTTATATTTATTTTTCCCTCATTTAAATGATTAATTAATTTGTGTCTTTTTTACTTTAGAAAAAAAGTTTGGCATAAATAAATAATTATATTCATTTTTGCTTATTATTATAATTCCCTTTCATTTAAAAACTTTCTCTCCTAGTTATTTAACCAACTTTTTTAAATTTTACTAAAAAAATACCTAAAAACTTTTAAAAAGGTCAATAAATAAATAAACTTTTTAAAAAATTGGCAACATATTTATTTTTGTTGTCAAGTTTTCGGTCTATTTAATAATAAAAATAAAGCGAAAGTTTAAGTTAAACAAAGCGGAAATGTGTTTTTGGTCCGAAAAAGTTTGAAGAATGTTTTTGACATTTTAAATAAAATAAAATATTTTTGTCAGTCCAAACCAGTGCCAGTGCTGGGAATTTGCCATTTGTTGGCTCCGGCTCTGCCGGAGCCCGGCTCCGGTGCCGGGCTCCAGAGCTAGTTCCCGGGGCCGTACCCAGCACTGGTCCAAACCTCCAAACTGTTTAGTTAATTTAAAGTAGCCTATATTTTCAAGATATTTTTTATTTTTTAATATGATTAGGTAGTCATTGTGTAGGGAAGGGGCTCCGAGCGATACCTCTTATTTATTGTAAGTGTAATTACAAAAAGCTTAATTGGACAAAAAGCTTAACTCCGTCAAACTTTTGGAACTCCCAAACTCAAAACCGACAAAATTTTAGAACCGTTAGCAGCCGTTTTTACTAAATTCTTTCACACACACCATTACAACTTTATATACAGGTTTTATTTACAATACAAACAAAAACAAGGTAATAACACATATGTACAACAATAGGCAAATTATTATGGAACGAGGATAATCGAATTATTATCACATTTACTATCCAACAGCATGTTCCTATCCAATCGGCTGATGATCATTCCTCCTCTTTGCTACTTATTCCGCGATCAACGGCACGTTCAGTTTGAACTCCGACGAACTTCCAGGAGGAAACAGCGCCTTTGCTTCAGTAGCATCTGCTGGAGCAGGAATGAAGTGAACTTCCAGACGACCATCAGCTTTCGGAGGGCCTTCCTGAAGAAACAAAAATTTATTTTATATGATCTTTTGCCTTCTTTCACCGTTCGACGCACAAGAACCGCAGCATTACCGGATGCGTCGACAAAACCGAATACGGGGTTGACACGGTAATGATCGTTGTCGGTGCACTTGACCTTGAAGGCATAGCGACCCTGTAAAAATTGAGATGGTTAAACAGTAGTTAACCCCCCGGTTTTCGCACAAAGGGATGCCGCCATCCTTTTGATTGATGATCAAAGGGATGCCGCCAACCTATGGGAGGGGTCTGGGGGAGGGGTCCGAGAAATCCTGTGGATATGGGGGGATTTTGTCGGCATTTTCTTTTGATCCTGCTGTCAGGGTAATTAATTATTAATGTGGGGAGGGGTCCGAACTAATTAGTACCTAATTAATTATTAATGGGGGAGGGGTCCGAACTAATTAGTACCTAATTAATTATTTTGGGGGAGGGGTCTGAACTAATTAGTACCTAATTAATTATTAATGGGGGAGGGGTCTGAACAAATTTGTTTTTACTAATTGATGGGGAGTAGAATATGGTAACTAATTTGTTGGTGGAGGGGGCCAAGGGGAATTTTAAAATAAGGTTTGAGTGCGCGAAAATTTGGTGGACGATGGACAAATGGTGGATGCTTTACAGAACCCAAAATGCTCTCTTTAGAGCATCAAATCTAATAAGTGAAACGAGACAATTACTAATTTTTTCTTGTATAAACTTTTAATTTGTTTTTTTTAATTTTTTACTATTAATAATTCACACTAGGTGGGCTCACCTACTGAATTTCTAGAGTTGATCTTCTGGGTTATCTCTCTCGATGTGCCTTTCTTAATAATTTAAAGGGTTGCATAGAAACAAAAGACTGCGTAAAAAATAAATTTTGGATGTTTTTTCTTTTGTATGTTTTTTAATAAAAAAT